ACTTACATATCTAAATTCCTAGCGGAATATATTTATCTTATAAGTAGTTCACATATATATACATGTTTGATTATACATAAATGTAGAATATAATTGGCTGCGAACTGATAACTAGACTACTATATTTGAGTTTGCAGCGAACTGATATTGTGCATAGTATGGGAACTTCAGATTTTTCGGAACTCTTCTTAAGTAAGAACTATAAAACTTTTTAAAAGAACATCAATAATTTTTAATATTTAAATAAAATAGATCATATTCTTTTTCACATAGCAAAGTAATTATCTGTTTTTAATGAACAGGCAGAAATTCTTTTTGACCTTGATGCATCATTTGAAATTGCAACTGTGAGGCAAGAAGAAGATATTTGGACGGTCTGTCTGAGAGCGACAGATAGAGGAGACGATGTGGCTTTTGAACATATAATAGGGAACGATATAACAGAAACATTTTTTTTACTTGGAAAATTGGTAGATGGAATGGGTAAATATACTACACAGTCAAATGAAGTTCCATTTATGATACTCGATGGTATTAGACATTTACATGAAATAGCTTCTGTTTTCTTTGAGGAGAAAGGAGATTATGATAAAGCATTAGAATTTTATATGGAAGCATTAAAAATGGAAGAGAAATCGTTGTCTCCCTCTCATCCCGAAATAGGTCATAGTCTTCATAATATTGGATTGTGTTATTACAAAAAATATTATTATATTAGAACAGATTGAAAACGTACCTTTTTACAATTTAAATCAATGGAAATACATGCAGCTGAGTCTGACAATATATGCTTAAATGGCACAATATTATAGTAGTCTCTTGAGCAAATACCTGAAACAGAAGATGCAATGAATCTCCTAAGGAAGGGATTGGGGTTTCTTCTTTCTTCCTTAGGTAAATATCTAAAATACAAGAATCAATACATCTTCTAATGAGGAAATTGGCGTAGTGGCTTCTTCTTCTTGTTGAGCCTATAATACCAAATAATTTCTAAAATCGATGATTTTATAGCTTTTCGATATATCAGTAAAACTAAATACCTTTAAGAAAAAAGTGGTCTTCACCAGCCTTTTCTTATTTCTCTTAGTTATTTTATAAAGTTTCTTTTGAATGAAGACGGGAAAACTGCTAAAAATTCTAAAAATGGCAAAAACCCGGTCGATACCGGTCACACTAGACCGGTCGGTCTGAACTTTTACAACGGACCGGGTCAGCACGCGACCGACCAGTTTCAACTCTGATATAATCTGATAATAGTTCATACGAAATTGACATCCATCAACCAACTTATTGCGTGATAACAATAGTGTTTTTCAGGGCACTTTGCAAATTATTCTGAAGTTTCTTCTAATAGATCGACCTCATTGTGCCCCGCTTACATTTCCTGATCTGAGATGACTTGTTTTGAAGAAAACTGGATCAATAAATCAAATCAAATCCAACTTATCTTATGTTCTATATGTTAAATTGACAATGGTACTGACAAAAGGTTAAATGAGAAACGTTGACTAGGTCAAAACTATGAACGAAAAATATAAAATAGCGATGCTCGAAGTTCATACGTTACTTTGTTTATTAATTTAGCCATGATGGTTAATAAATGCGAGGAAAACTTAAGGTTTTTTCTAACTTTAATTAGAATTTTACTTGTCTGAACTTTCGTCCAATAAACAACGAATTCTGAGTCTCTTATTATACGTTTTCTTAGACAGTTAGTTTTGTTTCTTCAAGCTATTTCAAAATTTATTCGAATCGACAAAAAACTGAACTGGGTGGTAAGCTCCCTACTACACTCTCTTGAGTGGCTGAATATAGATAAATTTCCCAATTCCCAATTTAGTTGTTTTATGAAAACTAGATGAATTGGGTTAAATTCAGTTGCATCTGGATGAATTGCCCAATTTACGATATTTTTTCAGGCTCGGGTGACTTGTAGCTCTAGGGTGATTCTTTTGAAAGCGTACCAGAGTTTACATCGACTTTGTCCGAATTGTTCGACAGTAACAGAACTAGTACAACTCGGCCTCCTGATGACGAATATCACGTTTAAAAGATTTTAAAACAACGGCATGGTGGCCTTCCAGACCTGTGAAAATCTCATTTCCCAGCACAACAGTCATTTTGTGGGCATTTTCACCCTCATTTTTTAGTGAAACACTTTCATGAGCTGGTACCGTCAGATTAGATT